AAAAATAACAAAGCTTAACAAATTAGAAGCGTTTGAGTTATGGTGTTACTGTCGCATGCTCAGAATCCCGTGGACAGTACACATATCTAACGAACGCGTGCTAGAGACCGTGCACAAAGATCAACATCATCAAAATGAGAAAGGTCCAATACTTCGGTCATATGAGAGGACCTAAATATCACTTACTCCGGTTAATCATTCAGGACAAAATCGAAGGAAAATGTTGGGTCAGAAGAAAACAACTGTCCTGGCTGCGTAACATTAGATAATGGACAGGTCGAACGGTCGAGGAACTGTTTCATCTAGCTGCCGACCGAGAATCATTTCATCAGCTTGTCAATATGACGATAGCCAACGCTTGAATACAAGCACGGCACACAAAGAAGAAGATAACATTAAAAGTGTTTGGCGATCCGCACCCCATTCTTTATTGGCTAGAGTTTTTAGAAGATTTAATCGCTTGTGACAAGATAAGATCAAATTTGTTATATGAAGTTTTCAGCTTAGACATAGTCTTAGGTTGGGGGTGTCCGTGACATTTTTCTTAGAAGACAGGATGAAACGAATTTTTTCAGTGGAAAAACAGAAACCTGTTTTTTGTGACCAGTGTTCTAAGTTGTGTATGAAGTTCTATGTGTGACAAAATATATATTGCATATTTTTACCTTTGCAAAAAACTACAAGAGCATCCGCGTAGACGCGTGCCTTTATAGGCGATTTAAGATTTTTGAGAATATAATTGATTCTGACTATAAAGAGCGTAGACTTATAACCGAGCCTTGAGGAATGTAGTTTTCTGGATACATTATATCTGATGTTGTGTTGTTTATCCTAACTCTAAAAGCTCTATTTTGAAGAAATAGAGAGACAATCATTAAACCTTCATTACTCATAAAACTCTTTGTATTGTTAAAAGCAATATTTTTCTTTAGAAGAATACCTACACTACCATATACATCCTCTCTATCTGAACGAAACAAATGATACCCATTAAAATTTGGTTTCAAATGTTTCTTTAACCAAGTTTCACTTAAAATACTCAAATGAATATTATTATCAAACAAAAATTTTTCTAGTAACCCTTTATTGTGTATTAATGATCCTATATTATTCTGAAGGATATTGAATTTATTATTGAATGTTATCAAGAATTGGTAAAATATCGTTTTAATTGAATTTAACATTTGCTTATCATCTGTTGGTATATATTCTGTTATAACTTTTAGAATTGATTCCATTATTGTGTTGCTCTGTATACATGCGGCATCAAAGTGAGTGAAAGAAGAAGTACTCGGCTGACTAAAAGGTACCTTGTGATATTGCGGAATATTTCTAAAACTTTCATATACGGGTCTAGAGGGGATAGTTGGAAGGGTTGTTATATCTCTATGCTCTTGGTTTATGGGATCTGGTAATGATGTACTTGTTGCGATTCTCTTTTTTTTTACATTGACTGTATATTTAGGTCCCTCTGTGGGAGATTTGGTAGCTGATGCATATCTTGATTTATGCCTAATAAGGGCTTCCTCATAACTTATGTTTTCTGTTGCTATTAACCGTTTAATTGATTTTTGTTCGAAAAATTCTGGACATTTAAATTTATCGGTAGCAGAATGATTGCCTGTACAAAAAATACACGAAGAGATGTTTCGTTTCTCGCAAGTATCACTAATATGTTCATTACCGCATAACTTACATCTTTCCTTACCACAACACTGCTTAGATGTCCATAACTCAAACATTTTAAACATTGTATTATTTTAGGAATATATGTTTCGACATCATAAACAATTTTTTTTTTTACTACTTGACTAGGAATTGTTTGTCCCTTAAAAGAGACAATAACAGTCCCCGTAGGAATTAATTTATCCTCTAGTTTCTAACATTCGCTTAACCTTTGTAACTGTAACCACCTTACCAAATTTACCTTTATTAAACCTTTTAATTCAAGTTCAGATATATCAGTATCTACATGTCTAATAACACCTCGTTATTGTGTGTAAAAAGTAGGTATATATGCATCACAGTTTTTATCCGATAATGTTTTAGATTAATCTAATTTATTTGCGGCCAAAAATGTATTAGGTACATTGTACTTTCAGTTTATTTCTACCAATTATTGAAATATTAACAATGTTATGTTTAATTTGCGGCTCCTATTATATGCAATTTACCTATATTCCTTGTATATTTTCTACGAAAACATAGTACGGTCCCTGATCTCCAAGTGAATAATAATTCTTTTCAATAGATATTTCGCTTACCTTGTTATTGCCGTTTTGATATTTATTATTTAGATGTAGATTTTCATACTGACTTTCCTTCCTTCCCCGATCTGGTGGGATATTCCAATCGTCATCAATTTCCATGTTGTGTTAAACACACACACACACACACACACACACACACACACCACACACACCACACACACACACACACACACACACCACACACACAAACCTAATAGTTTAATAGACCCAACTACAAATATTAAATAAAAACTGGTATTGATAATTTACACTGCCTAATTGTTTTAGATGTACACTCGACGAATGTTAATCGACAACCGAATTTAATTGTTGTTAAGTGCAATATTAAATGTATGTTAAAAAAAATGTTTACTTTTTTTTACTTTTTTAACAAACCTTTCTTAATATATTTACGAAAAAAAAATTATATTCCTGAACTTTTATAACAATATTAAATGCATGTTAAATAAAATGGTTATCTTTTTATCAGTAATAATTAATACCTTTCTTAATACATTTTCGAAAGAAAAACCCTAATATATATATATATATATATATATATATATATATATATATATATATATATATTGAAATGATTTCAATATGTTAAAAAGGATACAACTTATATGGATTTTTATATGAGTTTGTTGTTCATGAATTTCATGAAGCCATCACAATGTGGGTTCGACTCTGAAATAAAAGAGAGAAAAAGATTAGTAAATTGTTAAATAAATTAATTTTGACTTACCTGGTATAGTGTTAATAATTTCTGAATAGTATAGTTACCTAGTGAATCGTCTAAACCTTAAAAAGAAAAAAAAAGAAGAATTCTTAAAAAATATTTAAACATAGAAATTTTAAAAAAACGTCAGAAAATAAACTGTCAAGCAAGTCTGTGGGAGCTAAATTAATAGGGGTTTTGTTAAATAAGAAATTACAATGATGTGGAGATGAAAAGAATAAATTGTATAAGTATTGTAATAGAATAAGTTTTATATCTGAACATTTTTTTTATAAATTCCCAAATTAGATGTGATTAAAGTGATTATGAGAAATTAATGTGGATTGACAAATGTGTCAGAACAGAACAGTTTTATGGTTTAAAAAAATAGAAGACGAAAATGAAAAAAGGAAAGTTGGTTGCTGTTAGCAACGGATAATTGGTTTTTTTGGAGAAGGCCGACGAGGATTTTTCGACGAAGGGGAGCCCTGAAACTGTGGAATAGGTCGGGAGTGTTTTTTTAACTCGTCTAATTAGAATTTTAGTTTTTCCACAGTTTCCACAGCAGAGATATCCAGAATTTGTTCCAGAGAGTAAGAGAAACAATTTGACTTATAAATTATTTTGGAGTACAGAAATGTCATTTAAATTGAGAAAATTAAAAATCATAAATTAACATAATTGCGATAGGCCTTAAAAATTGAAAATATTAATGATCATTAAATTAAAAATAGATAGTACGTACCTTAACTTCCGAAGAGAGGATTGATATTCCAGTTTCACCGATTATTTTGTCAGTAGTTAGTTTTCTTTAAAGAAATCAGAACTGTTTTAAAGTGAGGTTGGATAATAATTTTGGGGATCATTTGAAATTTTGATTATATCTGAATGCAAGTTTAAAGTCAGCGGAATAAAGTGTTTAGTTTCTTTTTCTTTATAGTTCATTTAAACACTTTATAAAGTTGCAATATTTATTTAGTTTTTAGGTATGTACTTGTAGAGAGTCTCCACATTCTGTAATAAATTTTTATTGTCACGACACTAAACCACATTAAGATTTACACGATTCCTATTTTTGTAAATTTTTAAAGGCAACCCAAGTTGCAGACGAATTTTATTGTTTATATTAAATTTGTTTAATATTAATAAATAACGTGCTTCATTTGGGTTAATTTATCAAAAGTCTAAAGTAAATTTTGGTTTAATTTCTTTTTGAACTCTACCAGGAGACTACAGAGTCGACGTCACACAGTGATAGATTCCTTAGAACACATAATTGAGCTAGCTGAGGTATATATTAAATTAAACAACGAACCACATATTTTAAAAATTACAACATTTATTATAAATAAAAATAAAAATAAAAAAATACAACTTTTTCAATATATACATATATACATATATATATATATATATATATATATATATATATATATATATATATATATATATATAGCAAAACTGGTAAGATTATCGACGAAACGTAAAAAAACAATTTATTGTGTTGGAATATCGGGTATGCGGTCTGTTATTATTAAAAAAAATCTCTTTTTTTCTTTTAATCTTCTATATTTCGCTGATTTTTTGTCAGCTTCATCAGGAGACGACTAAAAATTTGAATAAAAGTTATATAAAAATCAGTTTAAATAAAAAATGACTCACTTACTTTTTATTTAAACTGATTTTTATATAACTTTTATTCAAATTTTTAGTTGTCTCCTGATGAAGCTGAGAAAAATCAGCGAAAAGAGTTTTTTTTTAATAATAACAGACCACATACCCGATATTCCAACACAATAAATTGTATATATATATATATATATATATATATATATATATATTATATATTATGTATATATATATATAGATTATATATATATATATATATATATATATATAGAGAGAGAGAGAGAGAGAGATGTGAAGAACTTATAGACTTAAAGAGGTTTTCTTCTATATTGTATTACCATATCCAATGTCTAACACTTAAGTATTTAATAAAATTAACTAAATATGTTTTTTTATTTTAGTGGATCTGGATATAAATTATGATGCATCACTCAAGGAAACCTACTATAATCAAATTTACACATCGTCCAACAAAGTAGGAGAAGGCACTTTTGGAATAGTCTACAAGGCTACAAATAAATTTAGCAATACAAAATATGCTATAAAAAAGTTTAAAAGTACAACACCTTCCAACATGAAATATGCTGAAATTCGTAATAATGAAAAAGTTGGAATCAACCAAAACTGCGTTAAATTTTATATGGCATGGGAAGAGTGTGAGGAGGTATATATGATGGTAGAGGTTTGCCAAATGAGCCTTTTGGATTATGCTGAAAAAAATAGTATACAAGAACTTATGTTATGGGATTGCTTATTCGATATATGCAAGGCCTTGCTCTATCTGCATAACAAATCACTAATACATAAAAACGTGAAAGATTCTAATATAATGATTTATGGAACGCGCTTTAAGTTATCAGATTTTGGAACGTTATTAGATTTAAATAGGGTAAGTTATCAAAACTAGTATAAGTAAATCTGACAACAGCAACGGTGTCTTTTGGCGCATACAGAGGGACCCAAAAGTCTGGTAAACGGCTAATTATCTCGTAAAATGCTAATCATAATTGTACAAAATTTGAGGAACACCTATTTTGAGATACGGAGATTCCATATTTAATATTTACAATATTGCCAGATTTGCCATTTTTCTTATATTATTAGTAACTTTGGTTTTTCAAATACATCACCCTGTATATTCAGTCATTATTGGAATCGAAAAAGACTGTAAGACTTGTACTCACTTCTAAATAGGTCTAACTGGTAAGCAGGTTTTGTATATTTTCAATAAAATTGATAGTGTGTAAAATAATTTATTAATTAAGGTTAGTATACTTTCGACATAATAAATGTCATAATCAGAGCTATCGTCAATTAGGCAATAAATACTTCATAAAAGGAAAATTGTGGACAAACAACATATTAAAAAACAAAGATCGGGCTCTCTAGGACACAGATCTTGGGTCTAACCCTTATACATATGTATAATTCACATCAAATACTTAAAAAAGAAAACATGGCTACCACATAGAGCGACGACAACAGCTGTTTTTGACTTACATTTTTTGAAGTAAGATCTAAGAAGTAAGATATCTTACATCAAAAAATGTAAGTCAAAAACAGCTGTAGTCGTCGCTGTATGTGGTAGCCATGTTTTCTATTTTAAGTATTTGATGTGAATTATACATATGTATAAGGGTTAGACCCAAGATCTGTGGCCTAGAGAGCCCGATCTTTGTTTTTTAATATGTTGTTTGTCCACAATTTTCCTTCTATGAAGTATTTATTGCCTAATTAACGATATCTCTGATGATGACATTTATTATGTCGAAAGTGTACTAAGCTTAATTAATAAATTATTTTACACACTATCAATTTTATTGAAAACATACAAAACCTGCTTCTTCTTCATGTGCCATCTCCGCTACGAAGGTTGGCTATCATCATGGCAATTTTGACCCTGGAGGCTGCCGCTCGGAACAATTGTATGGAAGTGCAAGCAAACCACTCTCTGAGGTTTCTCAACCATGACATTCTTCTCCTACCTATGCTGCGCCTACCTGCGCATAAAACCTGCTTACCAGTTAGAATTATTGGAATCTCCTATTCAATACGAGTTCAACCATATGTAACACTTATGATTTTATGTAATCTGGAAGGTCATAAATACATAAAACCGAAATCTGGCAACGCCTAAATTGTTTCAATAAATTTTTTAATACTAACTATTTTTATATACATTAAAACGTAACAATTGATAGTTTAGAACATGTTTTTAACATAGTAGTTACGTTATTAAGTGTTCAAAATGTGCTCAATTTGTGAGTTGACAGCACCCTAATCGATGGTAGAAGGCGTCTTCCACATTTCTCCATGATTGTCTAGAAATTATTTGAGATTCATTGATAATTCGCTGCCTTAACTCTGCAAGACTTGCTGGTTAAGTTTTGTAAACTGAATTTTTCAAGTATCCCTAATAAAAATAATCTTTAGGATTGAAATCGGGTGAACGTGGAGGCCATTCAATTCTACCTTGTCTACCAATTTATCGTCCAGGAAATATCTCATCTAAATATCGCCGAACATTTACACCAACTATCTGACGTTAAATTTCTTTCGACAAAAAATGTCCTAATTGAATAAGTAACTACTATATCTGACCCTACATTTAATTTTTGTGGTCTTTGAGTATGGTTTTCACGCATTCAGTCTTCAGTGTGAATTTACGTCACACCAGTACCTTAAATTGTGTCGATTTACATTTCCACACAGTGTAAAAGTTGCTTCATCGGAAAAACATATTCTGTTAACGAAATTTTAATAATTTTCAATTTGATCCATCATTACCTCAGTAAACTCTAATTTACGACCAAAGTCATCTTCACTTAATTCTTGCAATAAGTTAATTTTGTATGATTTAAATTTATTTTTACGTAATAAACGTAAGACTGAAGAATGACCTACATCATGTACTTGTGCAACCCTACCTGGGGATGTATGTGGATCTTCAACAAAACTTTGCTTATATCTGAAGTTTTGTTGTCATTGATAACTCGTTTCGGTCAACCTGATCGGTATCTATCTTTTACTTCTCCAGATTCCTCAAATCGCCTTACAGTTTTTTGTACCGTCGTCTTATGAATAGGAGAACGGTTTAGAGAACGGCATTTTAGAGAAGCAATTTAAATTGCAGAACTTTTTGAACCACAACTACTGTCAATTTTAGTTCATAATTTAAATGGTGAACAAATGTCAAAATCACAGCATTCTCCATTTAAATATTTAAATTTATTAAAATCTGCATATTTTGCACTGTTTTCTGTATTTAAGATCTTTCAGACTACATAAAATCAAGTGAACATATGGTTGAACTCGTATTGAGTAGTTGAACTCGTGTGAAATTCACACTGAATGCGTGAAAACCATACTTAAAGACCACAAAAATTAAATGTATGGTCAGTTATAGTAGGTACTTATTTAATTGGGCCATTTTTTATCGAAAGAAATTTAACGTCGGATAGTTGGTGTAAATGTTCGGCGTTATTTAGATGAGATATTTCCCGGACGATAAATTGGTAGACAAGGTAGAATTGAATGGCCTCCACGTTCACCCGATCTCAATCCTAAAGATTATTTTTATTAGAGATACTTGAAAAATTCAGTTTACAAAACTTAACCAGCAAGTCTTGCATAGCTAAGGCAATGAATTATCGATGAATCTCGAATAATTTCTAGATAATCATAGAGAAATGTGGTAGACGCATTCTACCATCGATTAGAGTGCTGTCAACTCACAAGTGGAGCACATTTTGAACACTTAATAATGTAACTATTATTTTAAAAAATATTCTAAACTATCAATTGTTACGTTTTAATGTATTTGAAAATAGTTAGTATTAAAAAATGTATTGAAACAATTTAGGCGTTGCCAGACTTCTGTTTTATGTATTTAAGACCTTCCAGACTACATACAATCGTAAGTGTTACATATGGTTGAACTCGTATTTAATAGGAAATTGTAATAATGACTGAATACACAGGGTGATGCAATTGAAAAACCAAAGTTACTAGTAATATAAGAGAAACTGAAAATCTGGCAACATTGCAAATACCAAATATGGAATCTCCGTGTCCCAAAATAGGGGTATCTCAAATTTTGTATAATTAAGTCTAGTAATTTACGAGATAATTAGCCGTTTCCAGACTTTTGGGCCACTCTGAATAATTAGGTATAGCAAACTATTTTCTTTTTTTTAAGTATTTTGCTGTTGGTAGTTAGGCGCTTAGACTTGTTTGAGGTACCTACGTGGATTTTGAGAGATAATGCACTTTATTAAAAAGTTTAAAACATCCTCTATATCAGGGGTTCCCAACAAAATTTTTCCAAGGACCCTTCATTAAGGTATTACAATGACGAGGACACACACTATTTCCTAAAGATCTAAACAAACCTAAAGTTACCTAAAAAGAGCCAAAATATGTGAAAACATAAATCAAACTAATGGTATTTAGGATTTATTTGTGAAAATACGGAGTACCTACACAAGTACATTATTAGTTCTAATTTTCACTCCTCAACTAATGAGATACATTGAATTTAACCTTAGAATCCATTATTTCTGTAATGTTAGATTCCAAACTTGTAACTTTTACTCTGAAATCCGACCGCATGTCAAACCGATTCCTATATTTGTTTTTCATGGAAGCACATGAAAGAAAATGCTTGCTCACACCGATAGGTTGTTGCAAACGGAAGGATATTTTTCATGGCCTTGTCTCCAAGTTCTTTGTAATCCCTGCGTGCTGTTGCCCAGAAGTCTGCTATTTTCTCGACATTAAAAATGTCCTTCATCGTACCACAACTCGACAAATCCACAAGCTTATCTTGTTTTTCTTCTGTGAGGCCTTGGATTTGTTCAATTGCTTGACAGCTGAAAGGATTTCGAATCCAACCATCGTCAGGTTCAGGGAAGTATATCCTAAAAGTCGTGACTAGGCTGCGTAGGTGCTCGGCTGCGTTGATCTTTATCGGGTCAAGTAAACTCTACTCTGCAGACTCCAAGAACTGTTTCAAATTAGGAAAGTTAGTGAACGATTCGTTTTCAATCCTTGCCGCCCACAGCTGGCACTTTTTTACCATAGCACTGATCTTATCTTCAACTTTAAACATCTCTACATTTTCCCCTTGCAAAATTAAGTTTAATACATTCAAGTGTTCAAACACGTCAGCTAAGTAGGCGGTTGAGCAAAGCCAAGAAAAGTCAGTGAGAACATCTGCGAACTTGGTGCCAAGAAGAAAAACACGAACTTCATATCTCTTAAGTTCAAAAAATCTTATCAATATCCTCCCTCGAGAGAGCCGCCTTCCATATGAATAAGAAGGTGTTCATGCTCACTGCCAATTTCTTGACACAACAAAGAAAATAATCTGGATTGCAGATGTCGAGTTTGAATGTAGTTAACAATTTGAAATACTTTGCAAAATACTTTGCAAAAGTATCTTTTGCAAAGGTTCAGGCAATGTTTTGGCTACCAAGGCTTCATGATAAATACAACAGTGTGCCCATTTTACCTCAGGAGCTAGTGCTCTGACACGAGCTTGATGTTCTGATTTATGGCCAGCCATTGATTTTGCTTCATCCGTAGATAAGCCCACACATTTTGTCCATGTGACGTCATGTTTATTGAAAAAATGTCGGTGCTTTCGTCCAATTAAAGAGCAAACATGTCGCTCATACTAAGTCTGACCAGCAATGTATCTTCAATGTTATTGGCCATATCTGAAATTTGTCTTTGGATGGTGTTGTTAGAGAGAGGAACAGTGCTTTTATCTTAATAGCCGCATCACACAACATTCTTGTGCATATAATTATTGCTGATGGTAGTATAAGTTCTTCAGCAATTGTATGGTTTTTCCCACATTTAGCGACAAGCTGAGATACCTTATAAGATGCAAGGGTTGCATTTTCATTTACGTTTGCACCATAGTATTTACTAATGTTTTTACGAGATCTTTTAAGATCTATATATATATATATATATATATATATATATAATATATATATATATATATATATATATAATGCATGTAAATCCTCAATAACTACATAAAAGAAGGCTTTTTAAGAGAATTGGCACATCATTTAACAGAAAAATGCCAAACTTCCCGAATGACAACAAACGTTCCACAAAAAATCCAAATACATTTACATGCAGTAGCTGGAAACAAGTCAAAATGCAAATAAAAGTCCAAAACGTGGAAGGTGTAAAGACTGCGGATGGGAAAAAGACAGAAAATCTCGTACAAGATGTCAAGAATGCAAAAGTTTATTTGCCCTGATCATTCAAATATCTTTTGTAAAAGTTGCATTGAATAAATATAATTTTAACTGAATATAAAGTTTTATTATAATATTTTATATTATTATATTAAAATTTTTTTTTAAAAATATTACCTGTTTTGCATTCCTACTGTTCTTTCAACAGTTAATTTTTTTGACAGTTTTTAAAGTGTCAATTTTCAATACTTTTTGAAGTCAAATCCAGATTGCATTATACTGTACTCCACAACTTTAACTTATTTTATAGCCATATGAATGCACAGAAATGCCACAAACTTCGAAGTTAACAAACGAAGATGAAATATACAGAAAAAATTTCCAAGCCAAATCTTCACGGGACGTTGTTGAGTTAGGAATAACATTATCGAGGTTGATTTCTGGAGTTCACTGGAGATCGCCTACTATGACAGAGACAGCCCCTGACCTTTCTCCAAAAAGTGGCCAGGATGAAGTAAAGGAGTGTAGGTATTGAATATATAAGGTGAAAAGTAATAAGATGATGATCTCTTTGTCTATTTGAATATCCAGTAAAAAAATTCACTGGACCACGTAGACACATCGCTATATAATACTCTTATTATCGAATTTTCCTTTACTTTTTAGTTTCTGCTTCACTGCTAACGATCGTCAAGCGAATGATAGCCGTTGATTATTGTACCCCACCAACACCGGCGGACATTTTAAAATGTGATGATATGAAAGAAACCACTAAAAGATGGGAACAGAACTTAAGAACCATATACACTGTAAGTTTACATATGTATGCATATATATATATTATATATATCTATATATATATATATATATATATATATATATATATTTATATTATATATATTTGTTCGGAAAGATTTCCGCGGTTAGTACAATGAAACCTAGAGCTAAGATTAATAGTATTACAAAAAATTAATATCAAACTCACCAGTCTTCCGGGTTGAACCGCGTCGATATCCATTTTGCCGAGCTGTCATTCCCAATTTTCTAAAACTCAAACACACGCTTCTTCTTCTTCTATCTCCCAAATTCTTAGGAAAGCCAGTTTTTTCGCTTCTCCGTGAAGCTATTCATTCCACAGACGAAAACTAGATGTCACAAATAGCAATATTTTCAATATCTGGTCATCTATTCATTCTTTCAATGTACATCCTATATTATGGGATAGTTTCGAACTTATTAATACATAATCAGCCCTAAAGACTTTCGAATCTAAAAGTGAAACTCAGAAACGCAAATTATTGAATCTCATTTCCGAACAAATTCCAAAAAGCCTCAACATTGGAACCCACTACAGTGGTCCATAACTTTTCTGATACCCCTATTTCAACAATTACCACTCAAGCTTTAGCGAAAGGTTTCAATTACTCTGATACCCCAAGTCACACTCCAATTAAGACAATCATCTGTCAAACTGAAGAAGCCATCTCCACTTTATCTTCCGAAGATGCTAACATAATCAGGCAAGACATCTCTAGAGTTCTTAGAAACTCAAAGCCACCTATTCAAAATATTAGCCAATCCGAGAAAAAATCCCTGAAAGAACTTCAGTCAAATTCAAATCTAGTCATTCTTCCCGCCGATAAAGGAAACGCCACCATCATCCTAAACACTTCTTCTTACATTAATAAACTCTCAAATATCGTTAATACTTCAGACTACAAACTAATTCCTAATAATCCAACAACCTATCTGGAGAAAACAACAAAAGCCATTATCAATAAAACCTCTCTTCCTGTTGACATCAAAAAATCTCCAATTCCTCGTGAAAAATCTTAAAAACACCTAGAATATATGGCCTACCCAAAATTCATAAACCCGATATTCCTCTTCGTCCCATTGTCAGTGCATACAACTGCCCTACACAACCCTTGGCCAAGTATTTCGCCAAGACTCTACAATCTTTCGCCGAAAATGCTTCATCCTTTGTCAAAAACTCTTTTCATTTCATCGAACTTCTTAAACAATACCCTATATCACCGTCAGACATTCTAGTAAGTTTCGATATGGTCTTACTTTCTTTCATTTCATTAAACATTGTATCTCCAACACCTATTTCATCTTTCAAAACAAATTCTACAGACAAATAAATGGTGCCCCAATGGGCTCCCCTCTATCTCCAGTAGTTGCCAATATCTTTATGGAAGACTTCGAGACCCGAGCACTATCCACATCAATGCTCAAGCCCACATGTTGGCTACGATATGTTGACGATACATTCGTCATTTGGCCCCATGGCAGGGATGCTTTAGTATCCTTTCAAACTCATCTGAATGATATACATCCTAGTATCCAGTTCATGATGGAGATGGAAACTGATTCATCCCTACCGTTTCTCGATGTTTTCATCAAGAAAAATCAATCCCAAGGTTTCCATTACTCTGTTTATCGAAAACCCACACATACCAATCGTTACTTGCATGCCAACTCTCACCATCCACCTTCACAAATTAATTCAGTCATTAATACCCTTGTCTCCAGATCAATACGCCTTTCCGATGATGCAAGTAGACCCGCTGAGCTCTCTTGTTTAAAACAAGCCCTAATCCAAAACGGTTACCGCGAAAATCACATCAATAGGAGCATTCACAGACATCAATCTCCCACTCATTCTCAACCCAAAGACTCAGACCCTTATCATACGAAAGCTTTTCTTCCTTATATCAAAGGTGTCACTGACAAAATCGACAGAATTCTGAAACCAAGAGGAATAAAAACAATATTTACTCCCCAACAAAAACTTTCATCTCTTGTCCGATCTATCAAAGACAATATTCCAAATGAACAGCACGGAGTTTATGAAATACCTTGTGCAGACTGTCCCCGATCCTATATAGGCCAAACAAATCGTAGAATCCAAAATAGGATTTATGAACATTCCATTTCTGTTCGCAATTCTGATTCAATTTCAGCTCTCGGTCAACACCATCTTCATACAGGTCATAAAATTGATTTTGAAAACTCCAGAACCATAGCCCCCATCCGCTTCTATAAACCAAGAATTATCCGAGAAGCCATAGAAATAGAAAAAAGGCCAAATTGTCTTAATAAAAGAGATGACGCCATACGGTTACCTTCTACATGGAGACCTCTCATAAAGAAAATATCGCCCCCTCCATCCTCGAATCAAAATCCACAGTCGGAAATAATCGCGCCAACTCTCGCGCCAACCCCAACCCCAACCCCCACCTAGGCCACGCCATCATCGACAGTATAAATGAACCGTCTCCTGTTCCCAGCATTAGTAGTGACAGCGCAGTGATCAGTGAACAGTGTAGTAGTGTCTGGGGGCTCGGGAGACTGAGACCTCGGAAGCCCTGAGGAAGGCATCAGAGAGGATGCCGAAACCCGGAAGACTGATGAGTTTGATATTAATTTTTGTAATAATATTAATCTTAGCTCTAGGTTTCATATATATATATATATATATATATATATATATATATATATATATATATATACATATATATATATTTATATATATATATATATATATTATATATATATTTATTTATTTATTTATCTATATATAATGTTCCGAAAGGTTTGGTTTCCGCGGTTAGTACAATTACAATAATTAGATCTAGAGCTAAGATTAATACTATTACAGGAATTAATATTAAACTCAACAGTCTTTAAAAGTCTTTTAATCTCTCATTAAACATTGTATGTCCAATACTTATTTTATCTTCCAAAATCAATTCTACAGACAAATAAAAAGTGCCCCAATGGGCTCCTTACTATCTCTAGTAATTGCTATATACTCTTTATGGAAGACTTAAAAAACCGAGCCCTATCCACATTAATGCTGAAACCCACATGTTGGCTACGATATGTTGATGATACATTCGTCATTTGGCCCCATAACAGGGACGCTTTAATGTCTTTTCAAACCCATCTGAATGGTATACATCTTAGTATCCAGTTCACGGTGGAGGTGAAAACTGATTCATCCCTACCGTTTTTCGACGTTATTCTAAAAAAAAACCAATCCCAAGGCTTTCATCACTCTGTTATCGAAAACCACCCATACCTATCGTTCTTGTAGTGTGATATGGAGGAAGAATATACATGATTAAACATACTTTTATACAACTTACATTTTTAACTAACAGTCAAAATATGATTATAAGTATAAATCTTTTTACATAGATAATTGACATTACATGTGTTTTCTTTTCTTCTTCTTTTGTCTATTATAATATACTACAATCCCTCCCCACTATAAGTTTATACGCACAGGTGGTTTTACATTTCTTTGTGGCCTACTTGGAACTGCTGTCGCACTTTCTTTGGTCTCTGGTTTCGCATTAACCTCACTAACCACTGCTTCACGTGCTACTTCATTACCAGACTCTTCAAAATTTCTCACTTCTTTATCACATTGTTTTAACACTTCCTATTCTCTTACAGCTGAGAGGGGTCCAACACTGGTACTAATTGTATTATTATTATTAGTTATATCAGTTACAATGGTTTCATTAAGACTATCGTAGTTAGGATCAGATCAAAATCTGGTCTAAATGTTTTTTTTTTCAAATTAAACCATCCTGTGTTAACTTACACAAATATATCCTGTCACCTAAAAGTTCATCTATTATTGCTTTTACTCATGTTTTACGATTAGGCTAACGATAATCTCTACAAAGGACTTTATCCCCCACTTAAAAAGTTTCAATTCGTCTATTGTTATGTAATTTATTATCAGTTAAAATAGGTAAAGAAATAATAAATAAGACTTACTCACAATCAACTATTCAGACGACTGGTTTCGCTTTCTACAATATGCAAAGCATCTTCAGGTCTCGATACAAAGTTAAATAAATGCTGAAATGATAGAAACCCATATTAGGGTGTTGTCTAATAAAGATAAACAAATTAGATGTTATAAATTACAATAATTATGCCAATAATATATGTCTGTGGTTTTTTCAAACTGAATAAAAATGAATAAAAAGACATAAAAAGTTTAAACAGACAAGGTAAGACCCACAAATTGTTATAAAATAGTCTATTAGATTGTAATAAATTAATATATATATATATATATATATATATATAATATATATATATATATATTATATATATATATATATATATATATATATATATATATATATATATAGTACAGGTTGTTTACAACTGTCGTTGTTTTCCTGTCCCTAGTTTCCATCGTTTCCTATCTCGGGTGTCGGCTTCATTTAGCTGTCTTCCTTCCATGGCTTCATTCACGTCATCTCGCCAGCTTCTTCTTGGACGCCCTCTTTTCATTCTTTCGGTTGGGATCCATTTTAATATTTTCTTTGGCCACCTCTCGTCTGCCATTCTGTTTACATGACCGAACCAAGTTAGTTGTTTTTTCTGGACTTCATCTATAATGTCTTTTTCTTGCTCCATTCTACGTTTTATTTCTTCATTGCGGATTCTGTCCATCCTTGTCAATCTACAGCTTCTTCTCATAAAATCCATCTCGGTAGCTTGTAATTTTTTCCTGTTTCTTTTACTAGTGTCCCATATCTCTGCTCCGTATGTTACCACCGGCTCAACCATCGTCTTATATATTCGTTTTTTCGTCGTTCTTGTGATTTTTTTATCCCAGAGAATGGAGTTTAGGCATTTGGTAATGTTTCTGCCTTTGTTTATTCTTGTATTTATTTCTTCATGGCTATTTCCGTCTTTTGTAAACACTACTCCTAGGTATTTTACTCTATTTGTTCCTTTGATTTTGTCACTCTCCAATGTCAGGTCTTCG